GCCCCTCTGCACACATTGAGAGCTGCAGCCCCCAGGAAGGGTTTGGGTGGAGCCCAGCCGGGAGCCATGCAGGGTCAGGCTGGGGGGAGGAGCTGCTCTGACCCCTGTCTGTGCTACTGCAGGAGGGCCTGGATGGAGTCCTCAAGATCCTGGTGAACCAGTTGAGCTCTGATGATGTCAATGTGCTGACCTGCGCCACCGGCACACTCTCCAACCTGACCTGCAACAACAGCAAGAACAAGACCCTGGTGACACAGTCCAACGGAGTGGAGGCGCTGATCCACACCATCCTGCGGGCGGGCGACAAGGAGGACATCACCGAGCCGGCCGTGTGCGCGCTGCGGCACCTCACCAGCCGGCACCCCGAGGCAGAGATGGCGCAGAACTCCGTGCGGCTCAACTACGGCATCCCCGCCATCGTCAAGCTGCTCAACCAGCCCAACCAGTGGCCGCTGGTCAAGGTAAGGGGGGGGGGACCGCGGGGGGGCCGCAGCTGGAGCTGCATGCGTCCGCTGCTGCGTTTCCGTCGAGTTAATGGCTGCTAATGGGAGGAAATTGCTCGTGCTGCTGCGGCGAAACCCATCCTCGCCCCCCGCCGTGGGGGTGTAGGATCCGGTGTGGGAGGATGCAGGAAGCCACAGGCAGCCTGTGCTGCGGGGGGGCTGCGGGGTGCCCTGTGCCTCTGGTCCCTGTCTGATGAATCTCCGTGCCCTCGCTGCAGGCCACCATCGGGCTGATCCGCAACCTGGCCCTGTGCCCGGCCAACCATGGGCCGCTGCAGGAGGCGGCCGTCATCCCACGCCTGGTGCAGCTGCTGGTGAAGGCTCACCAGGATGCGCAGCGTCACGTGGCAGCCGGCACACAGCAGCCCTACACGGTGAGTGCCGGCACAGCCAGGTGTCCCCGAGCTGGCGGGGTCTGTCCCCATGCTCAGTGCACGGTGACCCATCTGACCACGGCATGGGGACCCATCTGAGTGCCATCCCCTTGCAGGATGGCGTCAAGATGGAGGAGATTGTGGAGGGCTGCACGGGAGCGCTGCACATCCTGGCCCGGGACCTCATGAACCGCATGGAGATCTTCCGGCTCAACACCATTCCCCTCTTCGTGCAGGTAGGGGCTGGGACACGGGGCTGTGCCGTGCTGCCTCCCAGCTACTGGGAGCACACGTGTCCATGTAGCACTGGGTTCACAGCCCCACGCCGCCCTCTCTCTCCTGGCAGCTGCTCTACTCACCGGTGGAGAACATCCAGCGCGTGGCAGCTGGCGTGCTGTGTGAGCTGGCCCAGGACAAGGAGGCTGCCGATGCCATTGATGCCGAAGGGGCTTCAGCTCCGCTCATGGAGCTGCTGCATTCCAGGAATGAGGGAACAGGTGAGCGCAGCCCCGGCCCCGTGCTGGGCTCTGCTGGCCGAGGTGGATCCCTGAGCCCTGCCACAGCAGCTCAGCTCCTGTCCCCCCACAGCCACCTATGCAGCCGCTGTGCTCTTCCGCATCTCTGAGGACAAGAACCCCGACTACAGGAAGCGTGTGTCTGTGGAGCTCACCAACTCGCTCTTCAAGCACGACCCCGCGGCCTGGGAGGCGGTGAGCATGTGGGGATGGGGGGGGGCAGCCACACTGTGCCCCCACAGCTGTGCCTGCATGGCAGCGATGGGTGGGCGGAGGAGAGGTGGTGGCTCCGGCTCATGGGATGGGGATGCTGGGTGCCACGTACTCGTTCCCCACATCTCAAAGCGTGCCACCTTCTTCCCCAGGCTCAGAGCATGATCCCCATCAATGAGCCCTACTCGGACGGTGAGTGCAGCCCTGCAGGCCATGTGGCCCTCGGTCCCTCTCAGCACCATGGCAGCCAGGAGGGCGGCTGTCACCCACGGGCGCTGAGTGTCCCCTGTCCCCCAGCAGAGCTGGACCCCGGCTACCGCCCCATGTACTCGGGTGACATCCCCCTGGACCCCATCGACATGCACATGGACATGGATGGAGATTACCCCATGGACGCCTACAGTGACGGTGTCCGCGCGCCCTTCGCCGACCACATGCTCGCCTGACCGCCCGCACAACAACAGGTGGGGGGGGCCGGGGGTTGGGGGGCTGCGTCCCACTCCCGAAGCCCACAGTGACACCCACTCCTCCATGCAGGCGTTTCCTCCGTGCCGAGGGCGGCCTCAGAGCTGAGCGATCGTGAAAAGGACTCGGGAGACAGAAGTGCCTGAAGACAAACGTCCCCATTCCCACGAGAGGTTTCATCTTTCCGTTTTATTTTCTCTTCGCTGTGGGTCTGTGCAGGTCCTTCCTCCTGGGACTGCTTCGAGCGCCTACTGCCGCATCCAGCATCCAAATACTGTTTCTGAAGCTTTAAAACACACAAATTCCGCATCTTTACCAACCTTTCATTGGCAGAATAGTCTTTTCTATGAATATATATATTTCCTTTTTATTTTTAATATGGTGCCAACGGCTTTTGCCGTCTTTAAGTTTGTGCTTTCTAACGTCCCCACGATTTGTTCTGCGCGTTAACGTTCTAGGGAAGGGATCTGATGGGAGAAACCCTTTGTTTTCTGCAAACTCTGCTGTCAGAAGGGCAGCCCGGGGTTTGCTGAGAACAAACGGAGCTGCACCCGGAGCCCTGGGGCTGCCGTGGGTCTCTGATCTGCTGCTGGGAGCTGACTTGTCCCCGCAGCGCCCATGGAGGAGTGACTCCAGCATTACGAACCGTGTCCTTGTACCGACCCCTGTTGCACATTTTAACCCTTTCCCCTTCTTTTGGTGAGTGGTGTGTTTCCGTCCCCTTTCCTTATCTGATGACTTTTCTGAAGAGGCTCTGGATCTGATGGTCTAACACTCCGCCTGGCAGTGGACGGACTGTTACTGCAGTGTGGGTCCGGAAGGGGAGATTTTATTATTTCTATAAGTTGTTTTTGTATAGACCAAAGTAAAGAATAAAATAACCCCCCCAGCCCCGGGTTGTCGTGAGCCTCTTCTTTGTCGGCCCGGGGGGATTTTGGGTCCCATTGAGGTGGGATGGGCATCATCAGGTACGGCGCTGGGTCGTTTGCATGCCCACCGTGTCTGCTCTGCCAGGAAGCAGCAGCTCCTGGTAATTAAGATGTTTGTTCATTAAGCAGCATCACCGGCATCTCAGCTCTGCTGTGGTGCGAAGCTCATTTTAATGAGCTCCGGGGGATGAAGGCGCACCGCGGCCGAGCGGAGCCGCGACGGAGCTGCGTGCGGTGATCGATTCCCACCCAACCTCCCGCAGCCGGGCGGCGCAGACGGAGGCAGGAGGCCTCACCGACAGCCGCTCCCTGCGAGCGGTGTGGAAGCGGCTCCGGGCGCCAGGCTGGCAGCGTGCTGAGAGGTGGAAACTTGCCAAAGTCACCCGCGACCTTCACGGTGCCATCTGCTGCGCGTCCCCGCGTCCCCCCGGCTCGGCACGGGGAGCTCAGCCGGGCGCTGCGGGGTGGGCGCTGCTGGGAGATGCGATGCCCCGCTCGAGGGGGCTGAGGGACGGGACGCGCAGGTTCGCGCAGCTGTCGTGCTGCGTCCCCCAGCGCCCGGGGCGGCCCGGGGCCGTGTCTGTGCCCTGAGCTTTACGCCTGCAGGCCCGAGCTGGGGCGGAAGGCAGAAAGGAGCGGGGAAGCGGGGTTGGCTCCAGGCCTGCCTCGGCTCAGCCCCGCGGCCCGGCCGAGCCTCGTGCAGCAGGGATGCGGCCCCGCTTCCTGCTATGTCCCGTGCCAGGATCGGAGCCGAGCAAAACAACAGCTGTCTTCCGGGAGCCGTGGGAGCCGGGCGGCGAGGAGCGCACATCCGGAGGGCTGCGGAGCCCCGTCCGACAGAGCTGCTGCAGTGACGGGCAATGGGTCGATGCCCTGGGCCCGGAGAGTCCCTGTGTGCCGCTCTCCGAGTGCTGCTCGCCGGGTGCTCGCGCTGGGGTTCGGCCGGGATCCCGGGAGCGGGGGTGCTGCTGGGGCAGAGGTACCGAACCCGGCCCCCCCAGCGCCCGCAGTGCCCTCAGTCCCCGCAGCGCCCCGTCCCGTCCCGCCTGTTGCCCTCTGGTGGCAGCTCCGCCGCTCCCCGCCCCAGCGGGACCCCCCGAGCTCCGGACGAGCGCTCAGCTCCGCCCGTGGAGCTTCTCCCGTCCCCCGTGGGACTGTCCCCTCGGGGGCTGTCATGGCCCCGCGGGTGGCAGCAGGAGGGGCCCGGCGGTGCCATCCCACCCTGCAGGGACTGCCCTGCCTGGGCGCAGAGATGGGAGGAGGAGAGAAAGAATGAGCTCCGACTGCGTTCCGTGGCTCCCGACGGGTGAAGCAGGAAGTGTGGGAGCGGGGAGGGGAGGACTGCTGCTGCCAGGAGACTGCAGAGGGCATTTCTGAGGGACTGAGCCATCGGCCTTGTCCTCCTCCCCACTGCTCTGCAGCCACGCCAGGCGCTGCGTCACCCTCTGACGCGGTGCCCAGGGAGCTCCCCCGTCCTTCTGCCCCTCCAGCCCAAATCCCGCACCCACCTCCTCTGGCCGCCTCTTCCCAGCACTGCCTCCTTGCTCCCTCACAGCCTCGAGTTTTGCCGCAGCAGTTGGGGGCACAAAAACAGTCCGGGGCGAGCCCAGCCGCCCGCACCCCGCTCAGCTCCGCAGGGTGGGGGAGGACTCTGGGTGAGCTGAGCACGGAGGAGGTGAGGAGGAGATGCGTGACAGCGGTGGGGCAGGGCGAGCGCAGAGCTGCACGTGCAAGCGGGCCGCGCTGCCCTCGTCCCGCCGCTTCGATGCCCGGCTCCGCCGTGCCGTGCTCGACCCCTGCAGCCCCGACTCCTCCGGCAGCGATCTGCTGGGACGGCGCACACGCATCTGTCGTGCTGCGTCCCCCAGTGACTGGGGCGGCTCGGGGCGGAGCGGTGCCGGTGCCGGTGCCGCAGCTGCAGCCCGCGCCGTCACAGCAGTTCTGGTTTTATGGCCGGACTCGTGATGGTGCTGGTTTTATGGCCGGGCTCGTGATGCGTTTATGGCCGCGCTGGCACTTCCTCGGGTACTCCCGGCCCCGTACCCCGCATCCCACTGGCAGTGGGGTGGAGGATGGCAGCTGAACTTTGCCCGGCGAGGTGCGGCTCCCGAGGGCTTCCGCGAGAGCGGCGGCACCTCGGCTGGGTCTATCCGCTGCCGGGCGCCTGGATGGGGAGCGGGATCCCGCCCGGACCCTGTGGAGCGTCCTCACCACCCGCATGTCACCAGGGATGTGCTTTGGTGCCGAGACCCCGCGTCACATAGCGGCCGTCGGCCCGGCGGCGTGGAGCAGCGCGTAGCAGGTACGCTGCCCCGAGATCCGCCCCGCATCGCCCAGAGCAGCGAGACCCACGCCGGGCCCGTCCTGGAGCTCCGTCCCCGCGCGCCCCGAGCACCGGCGCTGCTGCCCGAGTTCCTCCAATCCCCAGAGCGGCAGTGCGATGCTGCCCCAGGGGGGGGTTGGGGGGGGGGGGGGGGGGGGCAGTGAGGACACTCAGGCTGGAGGACGGGATGCGGCCCTGGTCCCCGGCATCGCCCTGACGGCTCCTTCTCTCCAGGCTCGACCAGAGGAAGGACCTTGCGGCTCCCAGCGCTGCTCCGGGGATCCGGGGGGGGGGAAGCACAGCCCATGGCAGACGGGCCCCCCCCGTGACGCCAAACTGGACCCCGCCGCCCCTCAGGAACCGCCTCCCGGCCCGACCCCGCCCCACGCCGCGGGCAACCGCCGCGACGCCGCGACCGTCACCGGTGGGTCGGGCCGGGGGGTCAGGGAGGGGTCCGGGAAACTCCCGGCTTCGACCGTTCCGCGCGTCCCGGCATCCCCCGCCCCGTGTCGCGGTGCCTCAGTGCCGCCGGGAGGTGGCAGCAGGGATTCTCCCCAGGAGGCGGAGGGGAGGAGAAGGATGAGATGTGGGTCCCCGTGAGCAGCCCTGCGCTGGAACGCCCTCCCGGGGCACGGGCGGCTTTGGGGAGATCTGGCTGCCCGGGGCACCAATCCCGGACCCCACGGGGGCAGAGGGGGGCAGGAAGCTCTCCTCCAATGCGCCCTCCAGCGCCAATTTTCGGTGCCCCCATTCCGACCCCGGGTGCCCACAGCCCCCAACTGACGCGCTGTCCCCATATCCCCAGAGCTGTGCACCGGCGATGTCCCCGAGGTGGAGATAGTCACCCTGCTGGGCGAGCAGCTGCCCCGCTACACTCTGCGTGCCGACACCGTCTTTGGCTACGATCATGAGGACTGGCTGCGTGCCCCCCCCGCCCCGCAGCCCACAGCCCCCCTGACTCCGCAGCAGATCGAGGAGACCCTGTGGTACTTTCGTGAGTGCCCAGCCCTTGCCATGGGGCTGACCGGGGGCAGCAGGGTTTGAGTGGGGGCCGTGGGGTGTAGGATTCAGGGTGGGGTCACAGGGCAGTGCAGGAGCTAATCGCCACTAACGGGATCGGCGGAGTGGATTTCCTGGGCCAGAACATCCCGGGCTAATTCTGCTGAGCTGAGCCAGACGTGTGCAGAGAGCCCCAGCATCTCCCGGGAACCCCTGTGCAACCCCCCCTTCCATACACTGCGCTCCATGGGGTTGGGACCTGGGGGGGCACAGGAGGGGTCTGTGCTCTGCTTGGACCTTGGTGCAGGTGTGCTGGGGGCAGGAGCAGAGCGGGGAGCTGATGGAGGTCTGGGGCAACAGGGCTGCATCCCACTGCCACCCTCGCTGCCTCCACCCATTCATGAGGGGCTGGGGGCAACACCGGCTGTGGCATGCTTGTTCTTGTGGCCCCATGGTGTTCCTGCCCCCCTCAGCCATCAGCCCCCTGCCCTGCAGCCTCAGCCCCCAGCCCTGTGTGCCCAGTGTGGCTCCGCAGTGTGTCACCACTCCCACTCCATGTCACGTTTCTCAGTGCCCCATCTGTGTATGCTGTGCCCCCACTCCCTCATCCCCTCACCCAGACCGTTAAGCTGCCATCAGAAATAGCCCCCTGTAATCTACTTGTGCAGAGATGCAGAGACCTGCATGAAGGAGCAAAGCTCCGGCGGGGATTAGGAGGGAGCAGCTCCTGCACACTGCGTCCTTGAGGTGCCCGTGGATGGGTGCCTGCCCACAAACTGCAGCATCCAGGGAGCAGCGAGAAGGCAGAGCCAGGAGGGTGCTGTGCCTGCCAGGAGGCAGAACTGGAGAGGGGTCAGGATCCTGGATGCTGCAGGGAGGGTCCCATGGGTGGGAGTCCAGCGGGCAAATAAAGGCATCGTGTGCTGCTGAAGGGCAGCTCCAGCCACGGCCTCATCAATTCATTGATTAGTCCAGTCCTAACAAGGACAGGCCTGGGGCAGGTGGTGGTGGAGGCACTGTGCATATCAGCACTCCTGGCATCCTGATGGAGAGCAGCCCCACCACCCCCCACCCAAAGCCCCCTGCCAGTAGCACCTGCACAGTGTGCCATACAGCTGCTCCATCATATAAGCAGAGTGTGATTCATTCAGCTCTCCCTGCCTCAGTGCTGCCTCTGCTCAAATCTGCTGGTGGAGGAGCAGGGGGTGCACCTGGATGGGGCGCGTGGGGGACAGGAGCAGTGCAGCCACGGCTGGCTCAAAGCAGGGGATTTGCTGAGTGAGGCAGTTTGAGGATGGCAACTGCTGTGTGCTGTGGGGGTGACAGGGAGACGGCGCGGCCTGGGGCGGTGTGGAGCTGACAGGTGAGAGGCAGCGGGATGCAGCTCTGGCAAAGCTGTACTGTGCTGTGAACTGGGTGTCACTGGGCCCCCAGCCCTGCACACAGCCCAGGTTCAGTTCAGGGTCCTGAGAACCCTCCCGGTCCCTCCAAATAGGGCAGAAGCCGCTGTCTGTGCACTGCCAGTCGGAGGTCAGCCCTATATGGCTGCTACTCAGGGACCGGTAACCCCTCAGCGTCCCCTCTTGGCAGTTCCCACTGGGGGATGCAGTGCACAGACCAGCCCGTGTCCATGCGAGGCTGAGAGGTGGGAACCAGAACCATCCCCTGTGAGGAGCGCATCCCCATGGCGAGCGTGGTTCTCATCATCTGCCTGATGGGGGTTGCGGGGTGCACGATGGGGCCGTGGGTGCATGATGGGGACCGTGTCCCCACAGCGCACAGAGAGCTGCTGCTGCCGGCCGAGCTGCGCTGCTCTGCGCTGCGCTGTGCCGAGCCGGGGGGAGCGCGCAGCCCGCGACCCCGCCGCCCCCGCCCCGCTCAAGCCTCAGCGCCGCCCCCGGGACGCAGCGGGCAGGTGCGCGCCGAGCGACCCCATAAATAGGGGCGGGAGCGGACGGCTCGGCACGGCTCCGCGGTGGGCACGGCACCATGGAGATCTGGAGCAGCCCCGCCGCTTACGACGAGCTGAACGGGAACGCGGAGAGCGGCGGCGGCGGCGCGGATCCCATCGCCCGAGAGCTGGAGGAAGGTGGGGGGGGGCGCGGGGCTGCGGCGGGGCCGGGGCTGCGGTGGGAGTGCGGGGCCGGGGGCTGCCTAGGAGCCGTCCCACGGCTCCCGGTCTGTGTGTTTCCCTTGGGGTTGGCAGCCCCCCCCACCCGCTCATTGCTATCCGGTCCCTTTGGGGATCACTGCGATCCCAGGAGGGGTTCACGCACGGTGGTGGTGGGCAGAGGAATGGGAAAGGATCTGTGTAGTTGTGGGGCTGGGGGCAGCCCTCCCATGGGGTGCGGGTCCCCATGCCGTGCTGGCCCGGCCGTGGTGGTTGCTGTGTACGTGTTGGGCAGCGTATGGCTCCCAGGGCCCGCTGCTGGCTCACGCCATAAAGATGCTCATGCTCCAATTATTTCCAATTAACGGCTCAGTGGCCTGACGAAGTGCGGTTAGAGACCCTGCGGGAAGCAGGCCCTGCTGAGGGGAGGGGGCCGGGCTGAGGCTGGCCCCCCTATCCTCATAGATGCACCCACTGCGCTCTGGGCAGGGACACGGGTGGTGAGTGGGGGCATCGCCATGGCGATGTGCGCCATTACACAATCCCATCTGGGGCAGCGTAATGGGATTTGTGTGGCTGAGCCTCCCCTGTTAACCCACTTCGTCTGCCCGCCTGGGGGAGTGCGTGGGGTGGGGGCTGCAGGGTGAGACTGCTGGGCTGCTCTGCTGGGGAAACTGAGGCACAGTGCCACAGGGCTGTGAGCACAGTGAGCGGCTCTGGCAGCGGCTGTGGGGTGCGGGCAGTCCTGGCCCATGCCTCAGGGCCTCGTGCTCACTGATGGCTGCCTCTGCAGGTGGCGGCTCGGTGCTGGGGGTGGACACCCCTTGTGTCGCCCATCTGCCCCAGATCCCCAGATATAATGGGGAGGAGGTGACCCCCCCCAGCTTGGTGTTTGTTCTTGCAGCTGCTTTTGTTCCCATTGCTGCTCACAGGCGCTGCTCTCTGCAGCCGTGGGAGCATTGGGTGGGCAGGGGGCCCAGCACCCCAAGAAGGCAGATCTTGCTGTTGGGCCTCATTGTGGCTGTGGGGTTGGGATGCTGTGGGCTCTGTCCCTTTGCTCCTGAACATGGGCTGGAGCAGATCCCTGTGCTCGGCCAGCGACCCCATGGAGAAACTAGGGCAGGGCTGGCTTCCTGCAGTGACATCTGGGGGAGGGGGCTGGGGCAGGCTGGGGGGACGCTGCCTGCAGCTCGACTTCACGCAGTGCTGCATGGCGTTGTTTGTACCAGTGCTTCCAGCCTGGCTTTGTGTTGGAGATATCACCTCCCTTTGGCCCCTCCTTCCCATCCATGTGCCTTGTATCAGGATGGGGGTACGCTGACACCTTCCCCTTCACAATGAGATGTGGGATGATGTTGGTGTGTGCCCCACAGTGCCACAGGAGCATCCCTACCTGCACTGTGCTGCTGCTGCCCAGCAAATGGAAGCAGTGCAGGGCAGCTCAGTGCAGCTGCTGCAGCCATCGCCCATCACCGTGCAGGGGCAGCAGCGCCTGCCCATGGGTGAGCTGCAAGCTGCAGCACGAGAGGAGGGGGCAGCAGGGAAGCTCCGAGCCCCTCCTGTAGCCCTGTGTGAGGGCACAGCCATGCTCAGCTTTCGCCCTTCTCCCCCAGTCCTGTGCACTGAGCGTGCCGTGCGGATCACCAAGACGTACCACGACATTGATGCTGTCACCAACCTGCTGGATGAGGTGAGCTGGTGCACGGGGACCTGGGGCTGCGGGACAGGGACCAGAGGGGATAATCCTGGTTGACATTCAATCCATTTCCCCCTGCCTCCTGCAGAAAGAGAGAGACCTGGAGCTGGCGGCGCGCATTGGGCAGTCCCTGCTGAAGCAGAACCGCAGCCTGACGGAGCGCAATGAGCTGCTGGAGGAGCAGCTGGAGCTGGCCAAGGAGGAGGTACCACCCTCAGCCTGGTGCTGGGGGGCTTGCAGGCTGTGCCCCTGAGCTGAGCCCTGATGTCCCCCCAGATTGCACAGCTGCGCCATGAGGTCTCCATGAGGGATGATCTGCTCCATTTCTACACCACCAACACGGAGGAGAGCGAGCCCACCTCTGCCCCCATCACACCGTGAGTGGGCTCTATGGGGCTGTCCCATGGATGTGGGTCAGGGGGCTGGCAGGCCCTCATCCTGCCCACACTGCAGGTGCTCAGCGCCCACCCTGCTGTCCCCAGGCTGCGCCGGAATGAGTCCTCACTGTCCCTGCAGCAGTTCTTCCAGTATGATGCTCTGCAGCAGAAGCTCCGGATCCTGGAGGAGGAGAACCAGAAGCTTCGCCTGGAGGTGAAGGCAGCATGGGGCACCCAGTGGTGATGCTGGGGGGGAAACGCTCTGATCATCAAGCACAGCCCCTGTCCTCTCCTCCAGGCCACCACCATTGTGACAGAGACAAGCCGGTACGAGGACCAGGAGCAGCAGCTGATGATTGACTGCGTGGAGCAGTTCTGTATGTGGGCTGAGCCGGGGGGAAGGTGGGGGGCACCTGCTGGGTGCTTGGGAGCACCCAGGGAGGATGGTGATGGTGCTCCCCCGCAGCTGCAGCCAGCCAGCAGGTTGCCTGTCTGTCAGAAGAGCTGGCCCGCAAGGCTGAGGACACGGCGAGGCAGCAGGAGGAGATCAGTCAGCTCCTGGCACAGGTGGTGGAGCTGCAGCAGAAGTGCAGAACGGTGAGCTTCCCTCCCCTGCTCTGTGCTGAGGGGCCCCGGGGGGGCGCAGCACACAGCACGCAGCCCCCTCTGACTCCCCGCCCGCCGCTCCGCAGTACGGCACGGAGGTGGAGGAGCTCCAGCAGCACCTGGCCGCGGCCAAGGAGGTGCAGCAGCATCTCCGGACGGAGGTGAGAGGTTGGGGACGGAGCGTGGCTGCAGGTCCCACCGGTGGGGGCTGTGCTCTGAGTGGTGCCCCCTCCCCGCAGCTGCGGGACCTGCAGGACAAATACGTGGAGTGCGGCGGGATGCTGCAGGAGGCCCAGGAGGAGGTGAAGAGCCTTCGCAGCCGCAGTCTGCCTAACAGCACCGTCAGCCGCTACGGCGCCGGCAGCAGCCTCCTGCCCCTGGTGTGTGTGTGGGGGTGCGGTGGGGGTGGGGGGCGCAGCTCCCCTGTGCTGACGCTGCATCCCAACCCTGCAGGAATCGTTGGCTGCTGAGATCAAGGGGACGATGAGGAAGGGGACGGAGTCCTCCTCAGACTACAGGTGGGGGCTGATGACCTGAGCCCGGGGGGGGGGACGGGATTGGCCTAAGAAAGGAGATGTGGCACTTGGGGAAGTGGTAGGGATGATCTGACGGCAGCGATTCTGTGTGCCCCGTGCACACCCCCCCTGCTCACTGCCCACAGGAGCTGTCTGCGTGTTTTCGAGACGGTGAAGGCAGTGAACCACGCGGCCAAAGCCCGGTCGAGCTCTGCATCCCCCCAGAACACACCCGGCTCCAAGCAGACATCGGCTGCTCCCTCCGGGGGGAGCAGCACTCCTCACCCCAGTCCAGAGGGTCCCCAGTGAGTGTGTATGGGAGGGGAGGGGGGCTGGCTCAGGGCAGAGGCTGGGGGTCCTTTAACGCCGTGCAATGCACCGCGCAATGCGCTGAGCCCCTGACCCCGTGCCCCTGCAGGACGGCGGGCCCGCGGGCAGCTCCCGGCCGCCAGGATCTGGAGGCGGCGGTGCAGCGGCTCTCGGCGCAGCAGCGGCGCCACTCGGAGGAGCGCTCCTTCTTCGATGCGGAGCGGGAGCGCAAGCTGTGGCGGCTGCGGGATGAGGACGGCTCCAGCGGGATCCCGACGCCCGACGGCAGCGTTGTGTCCGCCGGCACCACTTGCTCGGGGGGCTCTGAGCACACCGCTGCCTCTGGCTTCTCGCTGGGCTCGCTCAGCTTCCTGCCTGACAAGCTGCAGATCGTGAAGCCGCTGGAAGGTGAGGAACGCGAGGGGACGTCGTGCAGCCCCGGGAGTGCCAGAAAGGTCCTGTGTTCCCAGCTGAGCCCCTCTGCACGCCTGTATCCTCCCTCCAGGCTCAGTGACGCTCCACCACTGGCAGCAGCTGGCGCAGCCCAACCTGGGGGGGATCCTGGTGCCGCGTCCTGGGGTGCTCACTAAGGACTTCAGGCCGCTGGACACCGACCTGGAGGAGGTGTACAGCCTCACCGACCTGGAGGAGGATGAGGTGGAGGCTGCCTCCTTCCAGCTGCTGCCCACCTCCACGCCTGCCAAAGCCATGGAGCGCCCCGGGGGTGAGCGGTGGGCACAGAAATGGGGGGGACGTGGCCCCCAGTCCCTCTCTGCCCTCCTGTGCTCTTTGCCCCGTGCTCCCCCTTGTGATCTTCCTTCTCCCCTCCCTTCCGCCTGTCCATTCCCACAGAGCTGCCCTGGTGCCATGAAGGCACGTGGCCAAGGAGGGTCCAGGAGCACTCTGGGCACTCTGTGTCTCCTCTGAGCTGTATAGGGCTGAAGCACAGCCAGCACTGCTCCCTGGGTGTGGGATTCTGCTGCTTGTGACAGCTTCCAGCCTAACGCTGATGCCACTCTCTACCCCCACCCTGCTCTCTGTGCCCTTTCCTCCATGTCCCATTAACCTGCCGTCTCCTGTCCCCTCCAGTGCTCCTCTCTGCTAACAACCTCCCCCAGACCCCATCCACCTTCACCATCACCACCTGCCACATCCTCCACCCCACCACTGAGCTCACCACGGTGATCCCCAGGTATGTGCCTCCCTCCCCACCTGCACCATTCCCCGCTGCCTCCCCTTGTCCTTCCTGCCTGTTCTCCCCCCACCCTCGGGGGGGAGCTTTGTGTGGAAGGAGTGAGGCATTGAGGCTAGAGCTGAGCCTGCTGCCTTCCTGCTGGGCTCAGGATAGAGTAAGGAATGGGTGCCTTAACTGCTGAGCACTACTGCAAAGCAGTAATAGGAGTGGAGGGCATTGGTGTGAGCTGGAGTTCACAGCATTAGCAAAAACAAAAGCCAAACACCACCACACAACCTGCCCTCCATGCACGATGACTGAGCGCGCAGCACTGGGCCCAGCCCTGCCGCTACTCCTCACTGAGCCCCACTCCTCTCTCTCCCTGCAGTCTGCATCACTCGGTCGTGCCTTCTTGTGGGCCCTTTGAGGGGCTGAACCGCAGCCCCCAGTCTTTGCGGCCGTCCTGCCCGGCGCCGGCACACCGCCCCGCATCCCCTCTGGGTCTCGTCCGCCTCGTGCTGCTGCGCGGCATCAATGCTGTGCTGCTCCCGGCCCCCACCAGGAGGGCCTCCCCGCTCTCCCACCAGCCCTGCGCGGCGGAGGAGGGGCAGCGGGGACCCGCATCGCGGAGCAGCATCTTCAGCGGGAACCTCGTGCAGAAGCTGCTGCGCCTGGGGCTGCACCGGGTGGTGGCCCGTGGGGAGCGGTGCTACGCGGACGGGGAGCGCCGGGAGCAGCGCGATGCGCCCACGTGAGGGCACGGCAACGGCACGCGGGACGGAACGAATCTTCCGCTCTCTTCATCTCCAGCCGCGGGCGAACAGCGCTGGGCTCCCTCGACTGCTGCTCGGAGGCATCACCCGCCCTGGGGCAGCGCAGAGCCCGGCAGCCGCTTTTGGGGCTTTATCTCAGCGGCAGAACGCGGAGCTCTGCAGTGAGCGGCCCCTTCCCTGCCTCCCGGCCTCCTTCCCCCCGGCCCCCCTGCTGGCGGCACAACCGGATGGCGAGGAGCAGCGGCTGCACGTGCCGGGCTGAGCCCCCACCGCCGGGACCCGAACTGACTCCTAAAGCAAACGGCGGTTTTAAAGTGGTGTTTTCTAAACTCTTTTCTGCCCCACAAATAGATGTAGCAGCGCTGCAGCTGTGCCCCATCTCTATGGAATAAACGCGACCACCTGAGGCAGCTCGCTGTCTCCCCCATAGCCGCACCTCCAACGACAGCAGCAGCAGAGCTGGGAGTGCCAAAGCTTTATTGTGGGACCAGAGGTGGGCTGAGTGCCGGGGCTCCGCGCGGGGCTACGCAGCATCGGCCGCATCCTCGGCGCTCCGGCGGCCGAAGTCCATCCAGTCGGGGTAGAAGTGGTCGTGCAGGGCCTCTACCGCCCCGTTCCCCTGCACGAAGCCTTTGCGGTCGCTCAGCTCTGCGGAGGTGAAGGGAGAGGGTCAGAGCCGCCCGGGGCCGGGGCTGGCGGGGAGAGAGCCGGGAGCTGCGGTACCTGCGAAGACGTGGGGCAGGAAGCGGGAGATGAAGCGCTGCTGCTGCTCCTGGGCCGGGGGCTCGGGCCAATCCCGCCGGGCCGGGCTGGAGGGGGGGCGGTGGGAGCCTTCCGGGACCTTCGCTGCCGGCCGGCACAGGCAGGCGGTCACCGCCGTGCTGAGGATGAGGCCGAGGAACACCTTCGTCTTCATGGCTGCGGAGGGAAGGGGAGAGAGAGGCTGCAGCAGCAAACCGGAGCGAGAGACGGGCAGCAGCGTGCTCGACCCCAGCGCCCCTCCGCCCCTCCCGGCCGCTCCGCACGCCCCTCCTCACCTCACGCTGCTGCTCCGGGGCTCCGCGCGGCTCCCTGCGCTCCGTCCGCACTTTTGAAGGCGCCCGCGCTGCGCTCCGCCCCAGGGCGGCTCCGACCGCTGCGGTGTTCGGGGCGCAGAAATACGAGGGATGGATGCACAGACATGCACGCAGCCATGCAGCGCACACACAAACGGATGCACACGTATCTACCCACAGGTGCACACGTCCATGCATACACATCTGTGCGTGCACACATCCGCACACACACAGACACACATCCATACACACGTGCACATATGTGTACATGCACACACATCCCTTCACACACACACCAGCTCTGCTCCGAGCTGCCCCACAGCACAGCTCTGTGCCCCACACACCAGGACGTGGGGGGGAAGGGGTTCATGGGCCACTCAGAGGCTGCAGCAGCTGCAGGGCCCCTTCACAAACCACACTGTGGTGCTGGACACAAACCTGTACATGGACCATGGATACACGTGTGTTCACTCGGTCACAGAGGCAGAGATGTGGGTACACAGATACGTTATGTGTACAGGTGTATGTCTGCATACCAGGTATGTGTGTGTCTGCGCAGATAGATGTACTTACATTTCCATGTGCTTACACACAGAGAGAGCAGACACAGGCACACACACAGTATTTCTGTAGAGGCAGAGTGCTGCACGGCTCAGCTGCACGGAGTGCTGTGTCTGCCTTTGAAGGTTCACAGAAAGGCAGAGCCGAGCTGCACAGCTGCAGAGAATGAGCGTACAGCCACGAGTGGCTGTGAAGCAGAGCTGTATTTCACACAGACACAGAGCTGTTCCTCCCCCCACATCATCCCCACACTCCCGGGGCGGCTCAGCCCCCTCTCTGTGCTCGGAGGAACAGCGCTGGGGCTGCCGTTATCTCACAGAGCCACGGCTCCTCTTGTATTGACCCTCATCCCGCAGTGTTTGGGAACATTTGCCTCATCCCTTCAATAGAGGATGCAGCAGTGACGTGTTGACATCTGCCCCGGCCCTGGCCGTGTTTGCAGAGGGGAACCAATCCTCAGATAAGCCCCAAACAAATGGGCTTTGGATGGGCAGGAGGCAGCGTGCCCTGCTCCTCTGCTGCCCGCAGCAATCAATGGATCCCTCTTGGGAGCGATTTTTACAAAGAACAAACAAATTGTTTTGTCATTTTGGGCTTTTAATGGCTCAATCTGGGCCAAATGAGCCGTGCTGTGATGGGCTCACAGCGGCTGCTCCCTGCAGCCCTCGCTCTGTGGGGCTGTGATGTGGGGCTGCAGTGCCCATGGGCACAGGGCCGTCCTTGCGTCCTTGTGCCATCAGAGCACTGCACCACAGCCATGGGAGCAGGGACAGCACGGACACCTCGCAGCCAGCAGGTAAACGTCTGGCCCTGCAGCAGGCACTGCTCAGCTCCTCCAGCCCTGGCTGTGTGCAGAGGCAGCGGGGCTGTCTTCTTTACCTTCCCAACACAGGGACCACACAACGTCCCTCAGTGCAGGCAGGAGCTCTGAGCAGTGTTGGCACGCAGTGCCTTTGCTGATGGGTGGAAGGCAGCTACTGCAGCAAACTGCTTTCCGGGAGCAAGGTCTCACCGGGAAGTACAGGGCAGCAAGGTGAGCTGAGTGCAGGGAAAACCAGGCTGAAAGTCAGGGCCTTCCACAGCAGCAAGTAGATGAACACACTTTTTGAGGGCTGCCAACCCCCTGCAGCTCCCAGCGGTGCCACAGGTTGGGATGGAGCTGCCTGCAGTGCTGCGGAGGGAAGCACACAGACTTCCTGCTTGTGCTGCACTTGCAGACCCACATCTCCAGGCCTGTTGCAAAACTGTTCAACCCCTGCACTTTCAGTGACCTCCAGCCGCAGCCCGGCCTGCAGCAAAGCCTGGTTGTAGGAACAGAACCCTCCCTGCAGCAGCAGCACAGCTCCTGGCCCGAAGCAGCAGCACTGAGCCCACACACCTATGGGCAAGCAGGGGACACCTGGCGCAAGGCTCAGTGAGGCCCAGTCCAGCGAGGGAGTGACTCAACCTCCGCCCTTGGGCTGTTTACTTCAACTTTGGCCAGGGATGAGGAAGAGCAGCACTGCAGTTGCTCTGCGTTCCCCTTCCTGCGCTGGGCCGCACCGCACTGCGCTCACAGCTGCGCAGCACAGCAGCTCCACGCAGCACCGGGGCTCCAGCGCTCAGTGCTGTGCCACAGCCTCACTGAAACAAAGCATTTTGGCTTCAAAATGCAACTGAATAATCCGCCAAGCCAACACTTTTCAAAACCATTTTTATTTAAATAAGACTTTAAATACATTACATAAAACATTAAAAATGAAACCAAAAATCTGTTACTTCACAGGGCATTAGGCAGCAGTCGCTAGTAACACGTAAGCTCTGCAGCTCTATTTACAACGATACTTGTTACATTAGTCCAAGATTGATCCCTTGTCAGAAGTTTAACCCAAGGCGATGTTCCTTCAGGTACAGCAGCCCACGCTCTTTGGGCTTGTATGACATCACCACCTGCCAGGCCAGGACTGCAGGCACCCAGCCTTAAGGTCACTCCATTTGCTCAGCTTCCCCAGATCCCTCTACCACTGGGAATGACAGCCTACAGAGGGTCCTGTCTGCCCTGGCCGTGCCACAGCTCGGCACCTTGCTGCAGGGCCCCCATGGTCACTGCCCATGGAAAGGGGAGGGCAGAGCTGGGGGCAGAGCTGGGGGCAGGCCCTGGGCTCAGCAGGGCACTTGTGGCGTTTTCCAGCCTGAAGCTAAACGCCCAAATTACCTCTGTTAAATGAGGGACAGCAAGACGAGATAGCATGGGCTCTTGTCAGTTTATTACATCACTGAATTACACCAGTCCAGACTGAACAGTGGACCCAAGAATGGTACATTACACAAACCGACTGGTTTTAAACTTATGACAAGGGACAGATGGGAATCTCATTGTAAGGAAATCTTCTTGCATAAAGCTTCAGTGGCCCATGGGCACTTAAAACCCATGGACTTTCAGCTGGTCGTCTTTGGCCAGTCCAATCTGCAAGAAAAAAATGCACTTCATAGCACTTCACACCACTCAAACCTCCGTGAGCATTCATACACCATCTGCACTGCAGAAATGACAAATTCCTGCTTCGCCCCAAAACACGGAGTGCAAACAAGACTGCAACTGCAAAATCTCACAGAATAATGTATTCCTCCAGCAAATGTTTCAGTAAGCACAAGAGCAGTCTCCTCCCTCCGCTGCTCTTTTGCACGCAGTCAGGTTCTGCTCCGCTCCCAGTTCAGCAATTAAGCCTTACCTCGACGAGGAACTGGCAGATGTTCTTGCGCTGGTCGCCCTGCAGCTGAATCACTTCTCCATACTCAGGGTGCTCGATCACAGTACCATTGCAGGCAAATTTCTGGGGAAAGAAGAAGGCTCCTTCAGGACGACAAAACCTCTGACTGCTACCCCGGCCCCACAGCCCCCCGTGTCCCACCACCCCCGGCCCCACACAGTCCCACAGCCCACCTTCTTGAACGCCTTCACCAGTTTCTTTTTATCGTAATCATCCGCGATGCCCTGGACAGTTGTGAGGGTCTTCCTGCCGTTCCGCTGCTGGATCCTTATATGGATGTAGTCCTCAGTGCCGGCAGGAAGCAGGTCATCACCCTTACTTGCATCAGCAAAGGGGTCTGCGGGGAGAGCGCGTCAGCGCCGGCCCCGCCCCGCCGCGCTCCCATTGGCCCTCCCGCCCGCCCGTCACCCTCCGCCCCCGCCCCCTCCCCGCCCCCGCCCCCCCGCGGCTGACGCAACGCGGCCCCGGAGCGCAGCTGCGCCACGGGGCGGAGCCGCCGCAGGGAGGGGCCGCCGGGCCCGGCCCGGCCCAGCGCCGCACAAAGGCCTCACCGAAGGGTTGGAGGTTCTGGATAGCGGACATACGATACGCTTCCCTTCCCTCGGCGAGGCGGCGGCGGCGGGCGGCGGCGGAGGCGGCGACGCGGCGGGTGGCGGCGGCGGCGCGAGCGGCTGAGACGGAGGATGCTCTCGCGGCGGCGGCTGCGGACGCTGTCACGGGGGCGGGACCGGCGCCGCCCGCTTATATACCACCTCCGCGTGACGTCAGCACGCACGAGAAACGAGCGCGCCGATTGGCCCCCCCGCGGGGGCGTCACGACGTACGGCCGAACGCGGCCACGCCCCGGCTGGCGCGACGGGAGCCGTACGCATGCGCAACTCTAAGCCGCGCGGGGTGGGGGGGGCAGCGGCACGCGGTGCGGCGCACGCGCAGTACGGCGGCGCCTCGCGGGGCCTCGGGCAGCGCCTGGCCGGGCGATCGCGCTGTGCTGCGGCCGCGCTGCTCACGGCGGCCCGCACGGCTCGGCTCGGCTCGGCTCGGCGCTGTCCTCGCGTTTGCGGAGCCTGCCGCCCCCTCGTGCCATCCGCTCCCCGCAGTGGCGGCTCCAGGCCCCGCGATGGCAGAAGCCGTGAGGTTCGTGCGGGGTTCGAACGCCTCTGGGCGCCGATGGGCCGCGTGGGGACGGAGCTGCACGGCGCTGTGCCGCTCAGCCAGCGCTCCTCTGCGGCCGTCCGCGCCCCGCCGTGATGCCGTGCATTTCCGAGGGACGATCGGCACCGCGCCGTGCTGCTCTCTGCGGCCCTGGCAGCCGTCGCACGGTGGGACGCTTCGTTCCTGGGGTTTTGATTGAGATACCCCCATTCATTGCTTTCTGCCGGGTAGAAGGATCGTTTGCTTGGCTGTACTTCAGCGTCTCTCTGGTGCTTCTAAAGCATCTGTTACTTTTCCGTGTCGTTATGTGCTGGAGCACTGGCTAAAATTGTCATTAAAATGTGGATTTGCTCCACAGCCGCCGTGACCCAGCAGACAGCACTTCTCTCCCCTCTGTT